TAATTTTCTGAAAAAATTGAGTTTGCTATATTTTTCAATCAATTGTCGAACATAGAGTATGTAATTTTGATAATAAATTATTTTATAATAAGATTGATAATAAATTTATCGAAAATAAACTGTACATTAAATATTTATTTTGCAATCGTCAAATTTGCTTATTACTCAAATTTCGACGACGAGTAATTAATATTAAACGTAATTACTTAAATAAATGTCTACAACACACTTTGTGGATATTCTTCAACGCCCAGTAGCCGAAATAAACACTCAAAACACTTTGTGGACATTGAAGCTTACTCACAATGCGTTGGTTAAAACTTTCGGGCAATGGGGCAAATTCGGCAATTGTGAGTTACATATACATACATACCACAATTGTGTTTCAAATGTACTGGACAACATTTACATTCTGTCATAGTTAGTTGATCATTAACATTCAAATCTTCGTTATCTACAAAATTTACAAAAAATACATTATAAACTCTTATATTTTGTAAAAAGTTGTGATTAATAATTTTACATTATAAAACGATTTACCATTAGATTTCGATAACTTCTTTCGAAATTCCTCGATATTTCGTAATCTATCAATGTCATTAGTGGGTTCCTCGCTCTTTCTTTTCAAGTTTGTTTTTATAGAAGAAGTTTCTGAAAGAAAAGAAAGGACCAAACGATTATATTCGAATGTGTTTTTTGTATTCATAAATTGTTTGCTACTGTTTTAGTTAAATAATAATATATTACAAAAAAGAATGTTAAAGATGTTAGTACATTATTATTTAAGTAAAACAACAACAATTAAACTCTAAATTATTAATATAGCCAGCTTTTATTTTTCAGGTAATTATTTCATATTTTTTCAATACAAGTGTCCAACAAACCAAGTTATAAATGTAAGGTAAATGTGCTATTACATTATACGAGTTATTTTACATACACTGATGATTTAATAAACATTAATACGTAAATGCATACAAACCATTCGTTAAACGTGGAAGAGTCGGCAATTTCGTCAGCAAATTGTTAGTATCGTCTGATGACGATGAAATATTCTCCTCAAATGAAGAGCCGAAAGTTTTTCTAGTGGCTTTCCTTTTATATCCGAGTGACTTACCGAAAGAGTCGGAATTTATGTTGGATGAATATTCTGCCTTTCGACATGTTTCTTTTGCTGTAGAATAACTAGCTAGGACAAAATGAGCATAACGTTCTAACAATGAAATAAATAGACATCTCGTCAACTGACAATCAAAACGCAATAAATAGTATATCTACTGAAAGTTCCATTTCGCAAAATCCGAATAGGATATGAGGGCCAAGATGTATTAGGTACTTCATGATTTTTTATTGCGGCAGTTAACTTTTCAAACGTTAGCGACGGCCAGAAACATTCATTATCATGAATCCAATTTGATGGAACTGCTTCCACAGTATCTTCATCCGTGAAAATAACAATAGTCCACGTCTTCGCCATTTTCCTCTATAACTTCTTACAATTAACAATTTGTCTACGCAACTTCAAACATAACTTTAAATAAATAATTTCAAATATTTTAAGTATTCGGAAACAAGCCGTTCCCTGGCGAAAATAATATGTTCATTCTAAGTTTATAAGAAGTTTGTTTAAATGCTGAGTCAATGTTTTATTTGAGTTTTAAAACATTTATTGAATTGTTTGTGAGATATAAATTTAAACCTGGAGTTGTTTATGACATGTTCACGGTTACACGTGTTCAAATTGCGATTAATGATACAATGTCAAACGTTTCCATTATAGTACTCGTACATTTCTCACTATATTTCTAAGTGTTTGCAAAATGTTATTGTCGATAAAGAATTAACCAGGTGTTTGCAACGTACTTCCAAACGGTGTAACCATCAATAAAACTCTTCATAAACAATGTAACTATCAATAAAACTCTTCATAAATAAATATAAACATCATCTCTCACTTAAAATTTTCGCCAGGGTTAACAGAAGGGAATTCGATTTTTGTCTTATAAAAAAATTTATTTAATTCTCAGATCGATTCTCAGAATATTTTTGTATCATTTTTTAAAAAATATTCATCACTTTTTTAAATACTGAAAAGTCAATAAACCTGATTTAAGAAAAAAAATTACTTAGACGGAATGGAGCAACGGAAAAATAACAAATTTATCTTTGCAGTGTAATTTTATACATTGTATGTATGTATGTATGTATCTTTATTCTGCGGTACACAGAATACGGGCTACCGCTCCGTTTACAAATTTTCCTCCTCCACTTTCTCCGCTCGCCTTTTCTTACTCCTACACCATTTCTTACTTCCTATTCTCTCCGCCGAGAGAGAGAGACCACCCATTCTCTGCATCCTCAATCATTCTTGCATTCATTCCTCCATTCATCCTGGCTTCCGTTTCCGCTGCTCTTTCCTTCCATTCCATCTCCTCCTCCTTTTCATCCTCCTCTATCCTTCCCTTTCTCCAATCCTCTATCTTTTTCATCCACGTCTCCCCCTCCCCTTTCTCCCCTAGTACTACTTCTATCATTTCCTT